CAAAGAGTCTCTTGGGGGGGGCAGTGTCTGAGGGTCAGGCTGTGCCTGGGAGCTGGTGGTGGTCCCCTGCAGGGTAGCCCCTTGATTGGGGTTTTGCTGGGGGGCTGGGTGCAGGGAGAGAGAAGTGGGGGTGTGTATAGGTAGGGTGCTGGGGCTGTGGGAGAGATTGGGCAGGTGTCGGGGGAGTGACTAGGAGGTGATCTCACACACACACGCACACACGCACTGGGGTCATTGGTCTTGTCATCACTGGTTGCTCCCAGGGGTTGCATCACTGGTTGCTCCCTCAGGGCAGGCATCTGCAAGCCGTGGAGTTCAAGCCTGGCAGAGCCGGGCTCCTCAGCCGTCGCCCTGGGAGCTGCCCACCAGGGTCACAGGGTTAAAAGTATAAGAGCTGCCATTGACTGTCAGGCCCTGGGTCCATCTTGTCCTGTCTTCTATGTCACATGGTGGCCGAGAGCAGAGGCTGAGGGTCTGAGCAGGGTTTTCCCCTGTTCCTCTCTCCCTTGCAGCCTCCCGCATCTAGGGTCCGGGCAGCTCTCATGCAGAGGCCGTGCCCCTCACTCCCACACGCAATAGCTACTGATGCCCCTTTCCTCCAAGACTGGTTCCAGGCCTTTTATGAATATGGCCATGCTCTCAGCTTCCCCTGCACTTGATGGGCTGAGGAGGCTCCTGGCCCTACGGGCTCTGGAGGGACAGGCTTCTTGCAGGGAGTTCTCCATGTGCTTCTGGCCGACAGGCCCCAGCTGGGCTGAGCCTCCTCTGGTGCAGATGAAACAAGGCTGTAAAATGTTTTTCACCTTTCAGACTGGGAGCCCTAACTGGCACTTCCTGGCTTCTTCTGGTTTTCTGCCTTGCTGAGTTAGCACTTAACATTCCTGGGAGGATTTGATGGTCAGAGGGGTGGCTTCCTTGTTTCCTCAGCCACTGAGTGGTTTAAGTTTGCAAGCTCATGCTCCAGAAAGGACGCGATTAGCACAAGGCTGCAACCCTGGCTCCGGCTTAATGAAGTAATCTGTGTGGGAACTGTAGGGGCCATGTAGGAGGTTTCCCTCGCCAGTGCCAGAGCAGCTCCTTCAGCACAGAGCCACTGCTGGGTTTGAGCTGCCTTTGCAGCTCTGAAGTCCAGGCATTGCTCAGTGTGATACCTCCAATACAGGATCTCCTTGGGGCAGCACCGCCTGCATCTTGCCCTTAGTCAGTTCTGTGTTATGTTGGTCTTTAGCTGGCCCTGTAACACATCTCCTTTGCGACTGTTGCCACCAGCTGGATGTGAACATGGAGCTCTGCATTGAAGTGCACAAGCCTCTCCTGCTTGACCTGAAAGTCAGGAAAAGTTCTCAAAGGTCCTGTGACTTGAGCCACCATGGAAAGGGAACAGAGGAGCTGCCTGGCTGGGGGATGGGTTACTTCCTCTCCATGATGAATAAACAATTTCTCCAGCTAGACTTCAGCACTAGGTCTGCCTGGACCTGCTCCTTGGGCTATGCTGTTGCAGCCTTCAGTTGGTCTGTTGCAGCTGATAGCACCCACGTGTCATGACTCATAATGAACATGAGGGATTTGGTATTTAAGCAAACAGTGGAGATGCAAACAGCTTGATACTGGTACTAGTGTGTGTACCCTTTCTGGGACGGGCATAGGTGAGAGACGCATGTGCTTGTGACTTGAAGGTGGTAATAGTTGGTGTCTTCCCTGGTGACTGCCTCCTAAAGGCAATAAATGACACAATTTCCAGTGTGAACATGGAAATCTAGTCCGCCTGACTCCGAATCTGCAAGACCGCATACTTCCTACATGCTTCTGCATGTGACCAGCCTGACGTGTGGGAGCCTGATTAGATTCCAAACTTCCCTCACCCAGTACATGACACACCCAAGAGCCCCAGAGGCAGCAGCAACCCATGGCTCAACCCACGTCTCCTTTCTTCTTCCCCACAGGGCATTTTTCTGGCTTGTCTCCTTGCTCCTGGCCTCCCTGATCTGGTTCATTTCAGTGCATCTCAGTGATCCAGAGGACTCCAAGCTGCAGTACGGCCTGCTGGTCTTTGGGGCTGCTGTGTCAGTTCTGCTACAGGAGGCATTCAGATTTGCCTATTTCAAGCTGCTCAAGTAAGAACCTGTCAGGCAGGCTGCTCTCCCCCCACCCCCACCCTCCAACCCCATGACATGGGCAGACTTGTGCTAGTCTCCTTTGTAGGATGTCCTGAAATTCTCAGATGATAAGCTGGGTGAGACTTGGGCTTGTTGCTAGCAGCAGAAAGTGGCAGCGATTGTGCTGGATGACTCAACAGGTGGGGGGAGGGTCATTCTGTGAATTCCCTTCCTCCCTTGCTCCTCCTTGATTGCCCTGGTAGGTGCCACTTCAGGAGAAATGCCTCCTGCCTCCAGCCCATGCATTCAGCCTCGCTCTTCTTTCTCTAACCCCAGAAAGGCGGATGAAGGCTTGGCTATGATCAGCGAGGACGGACGCTCCCCCATCTCCCTCAAGCAGATGGCCTATGGTGAGTGAGCAGCTGGGCAGGGGCCTGTGCTCCCTTAAGGTAGTGGGCTGATCCCTCCACACCTGCCCTGCTGTAGATGCAAGGTTTTTTTGGTGCTAGGGGGTAATGTGATGCTGAAGCAGAACAGAATGCCCTTTCTCTGCCCTCCCATGTTTTCATCCCTCCTGCCTCTCTCTTCCCTTAGTTTGTGGCTGGGGCAGGGCATTCAGCAAAACCTAAGCAGAGGCCTGGGGTAGAATAGGCGGCTTTTTGCCAGTAGGGGGCGCTCCTGCGTTGAGCCGCCCACCTCCCTGCGCCGACCACCTTCCAGGCTCCGAGTGCCTCCCTTAGGGTGCCTCCCGTCCGGCCGACCCCTTCCCTGGAGCACACCCGCCAGCCTGGGGTTCCCACTGCCACCATCCAAGGCTCTGGACTCACTTCTGGCTCTGCGCACCTTGGAAAACACAGTCCTGATCTTCCAATGGGTACTAGACCCAATACAGGCACTTGGGGCACTTCCCCCAAGTCAGGGGCTTATTAGAAAGTCTCCCTTAGTCCACAGACCTAAGGGGCCTCCTTGGCATAATTTAGACCCACCCCTCAATAAGTCTCCCACACCGGTCACAAAGGAAAACTTTATTGATTAAAGGGGGCAGGGTGAAAACCGGGTAAAAGGTAGAGCAATATCTGAGGAATCTCAGAGGAATCCCATAGCGCAAACTAGGATGGCTGAGGTAGCCCTTTGGGGAACGCATCTGAGTTACTGCAAGCTAAATATGTAGTCTGATCTTGAGTAGCTTACTCACACGCATCATCCAGAGGTGGTTGGAGTTTTCCTCTGGAGGCAGGGCACTCTTGGAGCATGCGGTGATGAGGAGAGAGCCAGGTTCAGATTCACCTGGATGACCGCATGGCTAATGGCTGCCTTCTTCCTGGCCCAGGCCTTTAAATAGCCTTTCTTACCTCAGCAGCCCGGTCCAATCGAAGCTGTCAGTGCTGGCCACTAGCCAACCAATCTAAAAAAGCATCACTGGCTACCTGGGCCAATGAGCGGGGCTCTTTTCCCCCTGCCCCCCCCAGGTGACCAGAGCATCTACACTTGAGGCACCAGGCTTTTGTCATGTAGGCAGGGAGGAAGATCCCCTGCCCTGAGGGATTCAACACAAGCCTCTCACGCTGGCAGAGACAGATTTCTGGAGAGGGGCATAGACGGTGGCCTTTCTGCCACAGTTGGCACCATTGCTAACTCCCTGGGATGGATCCCTGTTCTGGCTTCTGGCTGCTACCACCTGCAGGTAGCCTTGGTGCATGCTTGCATTGCAGCTGCCTCCCACCCACCCCAGTCTCCCCACCCAGAATGCCTTGAACACAGCACAGCACTGAATTTGCTAGCTTCTCTGCATGGCAAATCCACCTCCTCATGACAGATTTGGAGAAGTTGGAGGAAGGTATCAGGGAAGTGATTCTGTTCCTGTCGGGGTGGAGCCCAGTGTAGTATGCAGAATGGCTATCATTTTAATTCCAGCTCCAATCACTGTCCTCTTCCCTCCCCTCCCCCCCCCCGCAGTGTCGGGTCTGTCCTTCGGGATCATCAGTGGTGTCTTCTCAGTCATTAACATTCTGGCGGACTCCATAGGCCCAGGCATCATCGGGATCCATGGGGACTCACCGTACTACTTCATCACTTCTGGTAAGCAGTTTGAGAGTTCCAGGCTTGCTCCAGCCCGATACAGCAGGGGTGGGGATGGGAGGGGGCATCCCCAGTGGCCTCCTCTTCCCTCTAGCTCTAGTGCCACTCTCCAGATATTGCAGCTGGGCCCAGAATGCAGGGCAAAGCCATCATGCTGGAGCTGTCTGGCATCTAGCTGCGGATATCTGGGCATGAGCCAAGCCAGAAGAGATGGGTTAAGGCTGGCAGAGAATTAGGAGTCCTTGCAAACTCCAGTTTCGGAGGCAGCGGGGAGAGAAGGGCACTGTTGGCTAGAGGCCTGGGGCAAAATCGTGCTTCCTCTGCTGTCACCTGTGCCTGGTCTGGCTCTGCTGCTGACCTTGCTGGATGACCTCGTGCTCCTACCCTCTCTCCTCCCTCCCCAGAACAGTCAGTTCCTGGCTACGTGCCAGGTTGGCTCAACCTTTCCACAAACAGAAAGTGCATGGAGACTCCTAAGGGAACAAATAAGGGAACCTGCCATGACACAGATCCATGCAGTCATATTTGGACAGCTAGAGGCTCCATGTGGGAGCCCTTCCTCCAGCCCAGTTGTAACCCTCCACCCTCCAGTGGCTTACAGTCACTGATGGTCCCAAGGCACTTTCCTTTAGGTCTGGGTCCTGGCCCCAGATTCTTCCTTCCCAGCTTCAGCTGGAGCAGTCATTCCAATTCAGGGGGCTGGGACCTTCCACTCCAGGGCTATATATTCTAGTGGGGGGTGAAGGGGCTGTAGGAGGAAAGCCATCCACGAGCTACTTTACTGTGGCTCAATCCCCTGTCTCTCCCCCAGCCTTCCTGACCATGGCAGTGGTCTTTCTGCATACCTTCTGGGGTGTGATTTTCTTCGATGCCTGTGAAAAGCGCCGGTTCTGGTCCCTGGGTCTGGTGGTTGCCAGTCACCTCATCACATCCGGGCTGGTGAGTGAGGCTGGAGTCACTGCTTGAAGGAGGAGGCCCCATGGTGACAGTTGACAGTGCAGTCCTAAGACAGGGTGGCTGATCTGTAGCTTGTGGAGGGCAGCTGCTGGGTTAGCAAATCTAGAGTAGAGGGGAGGGGCTAAGCTGGCCTATGGCAGCAACACTAAAACATGTGTCCCCTTTGTGTTGGCTACTTCAGAGACATGGGCCAAGGCAGGTCTTCAGCACCCCAAGGTAACCTGTTCTGATGTGCAGGGGGCTTGAGGAAGCTTGGGCAAGCTGTACGGCTCCCCAGAGAGGCAGCCTGCTGACCACAGAGCTGAGTGAGGTGCAGCGGGGTTAGTGCTGCTCTGCACCTCTGGAGTCAACTTGATAAGGGATTCTTTCCTTCAGGGACCTGGGATCACTTGCTGGCGTTGAACCCTGCTGGCAGAGATGTTGGGGGGGTCAGGGGCAATGCTGCTGTGGGGGTGGGAGCAGTGCTTGGCTCACTCCCTCCATCTCCCCCAGACGTTCTTGAACCCCTGGTACGAAGCCAGCCTCGTGCCCATCTACATCATCACCGTCTCCACGGGCATCTGGGCCTTCTTCACAGCCGGCGGTTCCCTCCGCACCATCCTCCTGTGCCTCCCCTGTAAGGACCCATCAGCCTCCTCCCAGGCGGGTGATGTGCCGGGGAGCTTGGGGGGCAGGTGGAAACCCTCATTACAAGGTGCTTGATCCTCACCCTTAATCCTCCTGGAGCCTTCGGGACACTTGCTTGTCCAAAGGGCCTGGGCTGAGAGGGCTTGTGGGGAGGGGTGTGGAGCACCATTTGGGGGGCAGCTATCCCAGGGCTCAGATGTGATTCCAAAGCAAAACCAAGGTGCGTGGAGGGCCCGTACTCCATCACTGGGCTTGGGTGGCAGAGCTCTGGGGAGAGGGGTGGTTTTTGGTTTGCCTTGGCAGGGCTCCTGGCTGTTCCCACCTGCCATGTGCCCTTTGTGTGGGGGCACACAAGGGGGCAGCCAGCCTTGGCTCTATCGCAGAGGGTTAAGGAGTCTCTATGGTTTCTGCCATGACGCCCAGCAAAGAGGCTGGCATGTGCCAGCCACTGTCACCACATGGCTTCTACTGATCTCAGACCTCCCCCATGGGGGCTTCTACAGAGCCCTGGTGCCCCCATCTCCTGCAGATGGAAGGTCTCCTTTCCTGTCACCCCCCCCACCCCCTTCCAAATAGCCACCCAAGCTGGCACTGGCTCAGCCCAAGTCTGGCCCAGCCCATGACTCCTGCCCTTGCCTCACAGGTAAGGAGGAAGAGAACAGCCGCGTGATGGTGTACTCAGCGCTGCAGGTCCCCGTCGAGGACTAAGTGTCCTGTTCCGCTTGGACTCCTGCCTGCTGGAAACGCCTGCTAACACCTCAAGTGCCCTGCTCCCGGTGGTGGGGAGCAGCTGCAGCAAGGAAGGGGCTGCCAGGGTCCCGCAGTGCCCTGCTGGCTCCACACTGGATCCCTGGAGCTATAGTGTACCCAGGGAAACAGAGCCTAAGCCTTTGGCCCAGAGGCTCCCTGATAACACTGGTGCTGCTACGGAGCCTCCGGTCTCATTAAGGACTGTTGCTTTCCTTTTATGTCTCTAACGGGTACTCAAGGCCTCTGTGCTGCTGGAGCAGTGCTGTGGCTGACAGAGCTGGCGGGGGTCTCCTAACCCCTCCACAGGGAGCTCTTTCCCCAGAGGGCCTGTTCTGAGCTCAGCCACAGCCCTGCTCCCGGGGCTCTGCCCTGAGGGCGCCCTGCTGATCTAGGAACACTACAGCCTGCAAGCCTCTGGTGCTTCAGCTCAGGGAGAGGAAGGCACGGGGCAGAGCCCCATGCCACAGCTGGGCTTGTAGCTAAGAGATTGCCTATCTGGGGCTGGGAGGTGCCGGTCACCCCAGGCCCAAGGTGCAAAGATCTGGCTGGCAGAGGGGGGTGTGGGTCACAGCTGCCACTCAAACCTTGGTACTGCTGTCCCTGCAATTGCAACCTTCCTCCAGAGGCTGAGGAAGGTGCTTGGACACTGCTGCTTTCTAGGGCTGAAACCAATCAAACCAGTTGCCTCCTTCCAGCATGGGGGGCAGGGAAGAGGCAGCAGGCTGGCAATGGCCCATCTTAAGAAGCCTGCAGGCCTGGCTTTGGTACATGTGCTGTTACTGTCAGTATGGAAGGAAGCTCATGGTTGCTGTAACAGGAGGGTTTTAAACTACTGTTTTGGATCTGAAATAAAATAAAGTGATTTGACTACATGCTTGGTGTCAGGACGGAGAATATGATACTTCCCCCCCCCCCCCCCCCCCCGGGGGGGGGGGGGGGGGGGGAAGTACCTCAATTAGCAAGAGCAGAGGCTTGTATCAGAGTCCTGGGGACTACTCTCAGCCATTGCCCATCCTACATTCTCAAATTGAAGTCCTCTTTGTCCCAGTTTTCAGATGTGTCTTAGCCAAAGGATAGGTGGAGAAACTGAGGCACAGAGAAGTACAGAGCAGATTCCTGCAAGGGTCTGACTCATTACTGACAGCCACCAGAGGGCACCCTGTGACCTACCATGGGCCCAGCAGGACTGGGCACAACCAGTAGGAACTGGGCTGGCACTGGTGGGAGCTGCCTCTTCCCTTCACCCCAGGGCTAGCCTGAGCCTGGCACAGACTCTGGGTGCAGCTTGGGCAGGAGACGGCCACGCAGGGACCCTGTGCCATCCATGTGTCAGAATTGATGTGCCTGTGCCTGCCTGGTACCATGGCCCTTCCTAGGTGCCCCTGGATAAATCCCCTGGCTGTAGGATGTGGGATGCTCAGGCAAAGGCCTGAGAGGTCTTTCCCTCCTGGCTTCCCCACAACCTCCACCGCCAAACTGGCCACATTGCAAGGCATCTGAGGTGGGCACAGCTGCCTCTGAGGTCTCTTAGCACCAAGGGGGCAATGGCTGGAAAGATGCAACCTACCTGGCTCTGTGGAGAGCAGTTGCTGCATCGCAGCCCTGCTCTGACCCCTTCCTTGTGCCTGGCTGCAACCCCTGCCTTGCAGACCTAGCTGCCCCTGTGCCATCCTGCAGCCTTGGAGCCAGCTAGGCCCTGCATGACCTTTACCCACACCCCCCCCAAGGGTGCTGTTGCAGTGCCCAGGTCTGCAGGAAGGAAAGGACCCTGGGAGGGGCTGGGGCTCTCACCAGGATGGGGAGGGTCTGTCTTTCCAGTCTCTCTCGCAAGCTGTTAGATATGGAAGCCCAGTGCCCAGGCAGTGCTTTACCCTCCCGGAGATCAAAGCAGCCCCCAGTCCAGACTCCCATGATCCTAATGCACTGTGACAGCCTCCACCGACTGGCTCCCCCGGCTAATCCCAGGATGCCAGAGAGGGGGCTGCGCTGGAGGGAGCGTGGTCTGGACTGTGAGAGCCATGCCTGGGGACTATGAGCATGAAGCTCCCTGGCTGGAAGAGGCTGCACTGGGGAAAGGGGGTAGCTTCTGCACCCCAAGACATGACAGCCAGTCCCTGGGAACCCAGGAGTCCTGGGCCTGCAGCCAGCAGCATGCTGTGCCAGGACTAGGGGCAGGGTCTGGCCCTTGCCTCCCTCCTGCTGTCTCGGGCTTCTTTAGATGCTCAGGCTGGAAGGGAGGACAAGATGACCCTGGCCAAAAAGTGCTTGAGGAAGGACCTAAATCCCCTGGGTTTCCCCTAAGCCTTTAAACCCTTCTTGAAGTGGGACCTTGGTGGCTTCATCCTGGGGTAGGCCCAGAGGAGGGGTGGCGCCTCACCTGGCACATCCCCCAGCCCCTGCAGCCTCAGCCCTTCACCCGAGGCAGAATGGGGTGTGGCGAGAAAGGCAATGCCCTCCTCCCCCAGCTTCCTAGCAGCCCCACAAAGTACAGCAACTCCAGGCTGATCTGGGGAGGTGGTTTATTTCTGGATCTGGCCCCTGGTGCCAGCAGCATCTTTGTGACACAGGCAGGGGGGCAACTGAGTAGCGTGCTACATGTGGAGCATCATGGCAGATCTGGGGCCTGGTCCAGCTGTGTCCGAAATCTACCTGGACCCCCCCTGCCTTGTGGGTTCAGTGGCAACCCAGAGCCAGGGGGCTTGGTCACCACCAGCTGTGATTGTGGACTGGCAGGACGGGGGCATGTTCTCCTGGGCTGAGACTTGCCGAACTCATCACACACTGGCTGGCTCCCCCAGGCAGTGGCAGGGGCAGTGCTCAAGGGGAGCTGTACCTCTGCTCCCGCTGTGCTGTCCGTGCCTCCACCTTGGGGCAGAAGCATCAGGGTGGGAGGGAGGGGTGTCCACGGGGCTCAGGCATGACATCCCTAGCCCACCGTCACACGCTTGGACGAGGATTTGAACACGACATCATGCTCCCGGCGCCTCTTCGTCCTAGCTTGGGGAGGAAGAGACAGGTGGGAGTGGAATGGGGAGCCCCAATCTCCCTCCCCAGTTTGCTCCCCCATGGGCTAGGGCAGGGCAGGCTGAGCCATGCCAGGGCTCTGGCCTGCTGCTCCCCACTGCCAGCCCCTGAGTGGGTGATTCAGAGCAGCTGGGGCCAGCTCCAGCTCCCATTGCCAGGCTGATGCTCTGCAGCTGGGGATGAGCTTGGTGTCTGGGACATCAGCTGAGGCTGGTGGAGCCTCCAGGCTCTGATTGCATCTCAGCTGGGAGATCTTTGCTGCCCAGCTCAACTCCAGGGGTAGCTCTGTACCTCCCCCAACCCAGGATAGCCCCCAACTCTCCCCCCTGCAGCCCCTTACCGTATCCTCTTTGCCACAAAGTGGGCAGCAAGGCCAACACCGAGACACCCAACCAGGACACCAAAAACGATGGCGATGATCTCTCCTGCGCCAGTAAAGGAGGAAGGAAATGGGTCAGGGGTACACTTGGGCTGGGGTGATGGGGAAGGTCTGGGGTGAGTATGTGGGGGGCAGATGGTACCCCTCTGGGCAGCAGAAACCCAGAGTCTGGTGGTCCCATTTCCCAGGGCCTCTCACCAGCCGTGTCTCCCCCTCGCTCGCACCCGACAGGGCCTTACCTGTGCTGTAGCCCGTGGGACCTGCAAGAGAGGAGACATGGTGAGGGGCTTGTCTTGGGAGAGTTCTCACCCGCCCAAGGCAGTAAGGGGCTCAGGACATGTCTAAGCACAGGACATGTCTAGAGGCCGGGAGCCCCTAGGGAAATTTGGAAGCACTGCCCACGGGGCAAGATCCTACCTTGGAGGTGCCAGATCAGGGCTCCACATTTCCTACCCCACCACCAGAGCCCCCCAAGGCTGCCCCAGCACTCACCCACAGGGAAGGAGGCCAGCACCAGCCTGTCATTCAATGCCTGGGGCTCCCGGAAATTGTCCAGCAGGGGCTGTGGGTGGGGGCTCCCCAGCTCCGTGGAGAAGAGAGTCTGCTGCAGTTGCTGCAGCTGGAAAGGGGAATCAGTTGTGCCATGGATGCTGCACCCCCAGGGGCTGTCCCTGGCCCACAGTGGGTGCCCCCCACCCAATAGCCCTGGCACCGTTTCCCTTGCCAGTACCTGGGCGCTGGAGATGCGGACACGCTGGTGGAAGACGGTCCAGAGCACACTCTGCAGGCAGGGTGGTGTGGTCAGTGACCCATTGTAGCGGTAGAAGTGCCCCAGCCTCTGTGGCAGCAGTTCACCCACGTCGAAGGCTGGGATGGAGATGCTCTGGCCTGGGGGGGATGGAGTGGGGGGCATCAGGGCTGTGCCCAGGGAAGGGATCTGGGTGCCAGCCCTAGGCCCTGGATGCGGTTTCCTCATGCTGAGGACTTGCTGCACTTCCTCTGGGCACGTGGTGGCTCTGGGGTGCCAGGAACTGGATGACTGACTGACGGATGTCGCACCTACAGGGGTCTTGGAGGGGCCAGGAGTTCATGCAGCTGAAATCCAGGGCACAAAGCGCCAACTTGCATGTGCTGGTGACAGCTGTGTCGCCCCTCCAGCTAGAAGTGGGTCCAGATCTGGCCTGGGGAGGGTCAAACCCCTTGGACCCCAGCCATCCCATGGGCCAGTCCCACGTGTACGTCCACACATAGGCCAGGCCAGCCCAGCCCTGCCCTGAGGCCTTATGTCCCAGACCCCCCCATACCTGCAACCCCTCTGCTGAGCTTCCTCCCCTTCCCCAGCCCCTGCCATGGCAGCCCCCACAGCCCAGCCCATGCCCCCACCTGCATGCTGGACACTATCCAGGTGACGGAGGATGTTATCATAGGCAGGGTTGGGCGTGTCACCAGCCTGTGGAAAGAAGAGACTGGAAATCCAGGCCTGTTTTCCACCCCAGCAAGGCTAGGGGAGCAGCCTGGGGCACAGCGGGCCTCGCCTGTATGGGGCTCCTGTAACAAGCTCTTGCTAATAAGCTTTACTTGCCCCCGGAGCTGGCACCAGAGGCTGTCGGACCATCTGGGTGCAGTTCCTGGTATGGGCTCTGGGACCCTCCTCCCGACTGCAGCGGGAGCCCCTGCTCTGATCAGATCAATGACCCCCAGGGCAGGGCTGATACTCCGCTTGGCTGGGGGCATCCATTCCTCTGTGCTTATCCCTGGGTCCCTCAGGGGCAATGGGGCCATACCCTGTCCCCTCTGCTCCAGGCCCAGCATCCTACCCAAGGCACCCATGCTCCTGCCCCTTCCTTCCCAGGGACTCACCTCAATGAGGATGCCCAGCACAGCCAACCCATCAGCCTGGTGCTGGGCCTGGCTCAGGTTGGCATAGGTCTCCGAATTGTAGTGCACCACGTGCAGCTGTGGGGCAGAGAGTAGGAGCAGGACACCTGCCTGAGGTCACCCAGTACCCAGGTGTCTGGGGCTCACAGTGCCTGAACTGGGACACGGCCTTGGGATTTCCCTCCCCTCAGTGGACCCATGAGGCTGGACCCTGGGTGGTGCCAAGCACCCACCCCTTCCCCTGCAGGCACTGGGCCCTCCTCCCTTTCTCCCCTGGGGGGCAGAGCCCGTGGATGAATGGGACCCTGAGTGGCTCTGGGCTGTGGCAGGGGGTTGGAGTCAAACCGGATACCCCGGCATCCAGCTGGGATTCCTCACAGCTCCTGTCCCGGCCAGGAGGGTTTTGTGTGGGCAGCAAATGCTGCTGTCTAGACTAGGGGGGGGTCACTGCTTTCCCCAAGCAGATGCTCCCAGGGCTTTCCTCCTCCTCCTCCCCAACCTTGGTCCCATCCTTGACCCCCAGCGCCAGCCCCGTTCACCTCCGCAGGTGCCGCCTCGCCATCCAGCCGGTGCTCAGACCCCCCGGCCTGGCCCTGCCGGCCCCAGTGCAAGTGCAGCTGGACAGCCGTGCACACCCATGGCAGCCCCTGCAGGGTCATGGTGGGGGGCAGTGACATCTTCACTGCGGGGGCAAGCAGGGGTGTTACTACAGGGGCTGGGGGGCTATCGGGCTGCCTCTGCTGGGGGGCTGGGAGGGGAAGGGAAGGCAGCAGGGATCCAGCCCAGCTGGGCCCCCCTGAGATGTCCCCTTCTCACCTGTATGGCCGTTGTTGTGGAGGGTGAAGGTGTCATCCCAGAGGCTCCCGTACCCCAGGGGCAGGACGGGCAGCAGGGAGGGGTCATGCCATGTGGCCCCCGTCTGGATGTCGATGGGAGATTGGGCTGTGCCCCCGCAGTCCGGGAAGTCGGCCTCCCAGTGCTCCTTGCCATAGGGACCTGGAGACGAAGGCAGTGGGTCACGGACAAGTTCAGGGGGAGACAGGGTTGCCTCGGAGCCCCCTCCCCTTTGGCAGGAGCTGGGGGTCTCCCAGCTCAACCCCCTAGAGGCATCTGAGCAGGGCAGGGGGTGACTGAGTTGATCTGAGTCACTCAGGGCAGGGTGCACAGCCCTGGGGTCCTGGCTCCCAGCCCCACCAGCTCTAACCACTAGACCCCTCTCTGCTCCCCCAGCTGGGCACGCAGCCCCCAGTTCCCAGCTCCTGGTTGTACCCCTCCAAGCTCATCACCTCCCCCTTGCTTGTGTCTCCCCGAATCTCAGGCCAACCTGCCTCCACGCTGGAAAGGGGTGGAGGGAAGCCAGCCAGGGTTGGGATTCAGGAGCTCCGGCTCTGCTACTGATGCCCAGAGCAGCCTTGGGCAAGTCACTTCACCTGTATGCAGGGGAGCAGAGCCAAGGGGACAGGGGTGCCGAGGTAATTTGCATTCTCTGTACACCCAAAACTCCTAGGCCCTGGGGGTTTGGACACCTCATGCCCTGCTGCAGCCACTTGGAGCATGCGGCCAGGAGTTGCTGGGATCTAAATGCATCTGACTCTAACCAGGGGCATAGGGAGCACTTTATGCACTGTCCTTTTAAATGTGCCCCTGTCCGATTCACTTCCCCCAACAGAAATAAAGGGACTTTGCTGAGCCGCCAAAAGGCTCTCGGCTCCCTCTGGGGTGGCCTGAACCAACAGCTCAGGCTGCCTGACCCAGCTGAGCCCAGCATTAGCATGTGAATGGTCCCGCGCCACGAGAATGAGTTGGCTGAAAACATTTTTCCAAGCGGGGAAGCACAGATAAAGCCAGTGGCTTCTCTGCAGCCCTCGTCATTGTCTTCTGCCCTGGCCCCAAGCTGAAGTTACTA